TTGCAGGAAAACACATAAAGACACAGCCTATTCCACTATGCACACTTAGTCAATAAAAATAAATTATAGTTCTCATCAGACATTTTGTGTAAACACAGAAAACATATTATGTACCAATGAAAAGATCTGCCTCTAAATGTAATATGCACAGAGTCAAAAACCCAGCTAACATACAATTCGTATCAATCTGAAGTGAATTTATATAAGGGAAATGATCTTCACTCATGATTCATGTCTCAATAGCAGTAGCTATGTGCTCAGATACCTGTAGATATGCAGAGGGTCCAACAACCACACAACAATAATGAACTAAGTAGAAGATGTTACCAATGTAAGTACTGAAACCTGAAGGCGTAATTATCTTTGTTATGCATAATATCCCCACCATGCCCATTATTCATATTAACTCCTTAGAATCACAGAGAAGGCCTGTTTTTCAATCTAGGTGAATGTTTAGCTTCCACCTGAATACACCCATTAAAGAAAGTTCCACAAATCTCTGGGACATTGCTTTTACTGTTACAAATTTCTCCATCCTAATATTTGATTGGTGTCTATATATCTGTAATTTATATCCATTCTATGAAGGTATTTTGGAAAGAAAAAACCAAATTTGATTTTCTGCTGTATGAAAAATAAATTTCAGATATTTAAGAAGTTTTATCATATTTCTGTGCAGCCATCTTTTTTATGTTCTCTTCATTGAATATAATTTTTAGTCCACTAATCATCGTCATTACCCTTCAGCAAACCTGTTTCAATTTCTCTAATTCCAAAAGTGAGATGTTTACAACTGTACACAGACCTTTGATGAGATCTAATCTAAATTATGGGACAATTATTTCCCATTATTTGAAATTTGAAATTTGAAATTTCTTTGTTAAATTTAATTCTCTTTATTCTGTTTCTCTTTTCTATCTATCAACATTGTTTTGAATTTTAGTTGTGCTTTTGAGGGTAATAAGAATCAGAATTTTTATAATTGGAATATTACATAAACAATCTCTATAATACTGTATCCACATGATAAATTAAAATATTGTGTGAAGGACCTGGACTGATCATTTTGGCACCTTTCATAATTCCTCTTCCTATCTGATGATGAAACCTTAACATGTACTCTTTGAGCATGATTTTTGAATCATCTATGTATCTACTTAATTGTTGTGACATTCAACTCAATTAAACACTTAAAACATCTTGCTGATTAACCCATCATGTAGTATTTTGTCAAAAGCTTCACTAAACTTGAAATATATTAAGTCTATAGCATTTCTTCAATCTAGTAAGAAACATTATCAAAAAAGTAAGTTAAGATAGTATCTGGGAGAAGATTGATGAGAAAGAGTGAGAGGCAGTTTTTTTCCAATCTCAGCTCACGTAGGAAAATATTTCTAGAGCTTTAGGATAGTTTTACATCCTAAAAATGCAATTGATTCAGAGAAAAAGAAAGAAACCACTGTAGTTGGTAGATTCAAATAAATTGTTAGCACCATAATTTCTGAATTTTCATATCAAAGGCCAAAGAGTTTTAAACAATTGCATAAGCAAGTTACATATAATGATTTATTTTATATACTTACTAATTGAAACTTATTACTGTCTAATTTTTCAGCATCAGGTTAATTTGCCTAGTTTGTAAAATGAGAAATCACATAAGAAAATGCACTTTCTTATGAACTGTTAGTACAGTACTGTTTGAAAACAGTGAAAATGCCAGTATTCACTAATTTAAAAACAAAATAAAACTTTCAATTCGTGTTAGATATCCCTTTCATCATGTAATTTTAATCAATAGGCATAAATGTTTTTCTTAATTCCAACATTAGAATAGATTATTATTTAATGTTTGTTAATTATAGTTATTATCTGTCTAATAATCAAAGTTATCAGGGTTATGGATTTGTTTAAGACATTAAAAGGTTCTAAAAAGTAATGTGTGTGTGTGTGTGTGTGTATGTATGTACGTATGTATGTATGTATGTATGTATGTTTTTCCTCTAGCCAGGTTTTTCCTACGTAACCAAGGTTTTTCTGCAGCCCTAGCTCAGTAGAATCACATCCACTCGATTCTGGGCTTTTTTTTCTTTCTGGCAGCCAGCAAGTTCTTGCTGCCAGGTGAGAGACTTATATAGATCTATTTCTGGCTCGTTAGCCATCATCAGTAAGCCTCACCCACATCTCATGTATCCTCCCTGTAAAGGTACAATATCTATTTTCTTACTCCTTCGTAAAAACCAAGGTTTTTCTGCAGCCCTAGCTCAGTAGAATCACATCCACTCGATTCTGGGCTTGGTTACGTAGGAAAACCTGGCTAGAGGAAAAACACACATAAATCCTATGAAGAAGTAAGAATATATATGTATGTATGTATGTATGTATGTATGTATGTATATGTATATGTATATGTATATGTATATGTATATGTATATGTATGTATATAAGAAGGAAAAATTCTAAGTTCATATGAGAGAATTTATAAGTGTAATATGAGAAAAATATATGTGCATATGTATATATATACGTATACGTATGTGTAGATAGTTACACATATATACATACCCAAGCCCTTCACTAGTCTAATTCAGACTAGATACCAAGTTGAATGCAAACTACAAAATACCTTGAAAGAGATCTATTGTTGCCTGCTACTGAAGATATATTAGGAATTCTCGGAAATCTTTTCCTTCTTATAATGATCCTCTACATTACATTGCTTGGCTGGAATAATTCAAATGTTCTCAGAAATGATCAAAGGAACTCCACTGGTATGAAGAGTCCAGAAGGTACAGTTGAAAGCAAAATAAATGATAAGCAAGCCCTATTTCTCTATTCAAGAATTAATACTATTCTGCAATTTGAAGAGGCAGAAAAATTCTCTCATATGAACTTGGTACATTAACAAAAATTAAGAAATAATATTTTTATATCTGGTAGAAAAATACTTTTCCCTGTTCATCTATCTAATTTGCTTCTAAATTGTAGGGAATCAAAAGCAGACTAAATTTCAAAATTAAGACTGATAATATGTTCCATGCAAACTATACATATTTACTCAAAAGTAATTATCTCTAAATTACCTTGAATTATTCTCTGTATGTAGAGAACCATAATATTTAATATTTTAATTTCAGTTCTTTTTTCAAACTGAAGTATTATTAATTAATTTATCAGCTGAACCTTTCAGTTGTGTGAGACAAAATTAGCCACAGTTATTTTTTAATACATAATGTTTACAGAGATAGATGGGCATGGTATTTTCTTTTTTGACAATGTAAACTATATTGTTTAAACTGCAAGCATTAAAATAGATATTGTCATTTGTAACTTTTTGATAAATGAATAAATATTATTGGGGATATCAAAAAAAGGAGTGATTTTTGCAGTTGTAACATGATGGTGTAAAATAAAGTCCATTTGTTTATTTCATGCTACATATATGTATTTATTTGGGGACATTTTGCTATCCTAAACTAGTACATTAAGATTGGATTGAAGTAGTGAAACATGTTACTTGTATTATTATGGTTTGTTGCACAATCATCCAGATGCTTAAATTGGCATTTTTATCTACCCATCAAGTCCTTCTCAAGATGTCGTTGTTTTATGGTATTAAAAGGTACTGTTGCAGGATGTAAGCTATTCCAAGTAAAACTACCTTATACAATTGACTAGTGATTTTGTCAATGTTGATGGTTTAAGTAGTGCTCCAGTGCTTTTAGGAGTAGATCCAAGGCGCCTATTACTATTGGTGGTATCTTTGCTTCCTTTTGCCACTGTTGTTCTATCTATATTTGTAGATCTTTGTATTTTGTGATTTTCTCTTCTATTATGCTGTCTGGGGGTACTGCCGTGCCCACTATGCAGACTTTTTGTGTACTATTGTTGTTGTTACCATTATTAAAATAATGAGTTATCTCTCCTTCCTTCCTTCCTTCCTTCCTTCCTTCCTTCCTTCCTTCCTTCCTTCCTTCCTTCCTTCCTTCTAATTTAAATATATTTTCATCTTTACAGCAATTACTTCTGTCTTTTACATCAAAACTAATGAAAATAAGAATGGCAGGAGGTTTAGAAAGATTGAATTACTGTTAGCTGAATTTATGCACTCTTGACAACATTTAAATGTATGACTTTAATTGTTGCGCAATTCTCAAGAAATTTATCTTATGTAAATCCTGGTGGAACTGAATGGGATTTTCCAATCAATAGAGTTCCAGAACATAATCAAGCCCTCACCTTCAGGGACATTTTTGGCTTGTTAAACACTTTAGAAGACCACAATTATATCTGTACTTAATTCTTTCTTGGATAATGCAACTGGTTTTTCATAAATCCTCTGTCCTGTCTCTAAATCATTCCAAGCCAACCACAGTTCCTTATATTCAGATGGTCCTCCCATCTTCCCAATAGCATCTTGGATTTCTATTATGGATGCATACCTCTACTCATTCTTGACTCTTTCCAAACCATATGGCCTCCACAGATTCAGTTCCCAGAGGCATGCTCATTGAATACATCATTTTCACAGCATGGGGAGACAACTTGCAGCTGTGGAATGCATCAAGCTAAGTTAACACAGTCTTCTATTTACTTTCCAGAACAGTCCATTGCAAAGAAAGAGAAAAAGAAAAAAACAGAAAAGAGACATAAAAAAACGCTCTGCGGTACCACTGGTTTCTGCTCTGTCTACCAACAATATGCATCCTTCAAAAAATTAGCACACCAATATAAAAACTGACTGTGATATTGGAAATCAGTATTTGTTAATGATCTTTTTATAAAATTCAGCTGGAGGGGATTGTATTCTTATTTAATACATCCTATCTCTTTCTTTAATATATATTACATTATTTTCTTTAATATATCTTACAATATTTTGAAATGATTAGCAGGTTATTACAAGTAATTTTGTAATTTGACAACATATGTGTCTTCTTAACATTGCATAATTCTTAAGTATATAAAAATGTCTTTTTTTGTGTTTATATTTCATACAATAGGTACTATTTTCCCTCTGCATTGCGTTTTGGGGAATTCAGATCATAAAGCAACTCACTTCAAGCTCAGCCAAGCAGCACTAAGAAGAAGTCTATCAAAATTTTATTTTTTGTGATGGATTACTTTCATCTTTTGTGCAGAATTACAATAGAGATTACTTTAATATATTCACCAATAGAAACAATAATATATAACCATGTCTCAATTTCTTTACTTTTATTTAATTGGAAACTTCTGAAATTTCTGCATTAATTTCATTTCTATGCAAATGTATAGGTAATTTTAACAATTATATTAATAAATATTAATTATGTATGGTGGAAAGAAACTCGTTTGTTTTCTTTATACGTTGATAAAATCAAAAGACTTTGTTACATAGGAGGTGAAGTTTCACTGATATAAGATGAATATTGAGCAGAATTTTGCAATTAATCATGAATACACTTCACACTTGCAAATGTAAACATCAACCTGGGGATGTTTATTTTTTAACTTGATTGTAATTCACTCAAGTGGATTGTATTCTGCCTTTCTTTCCAGAAAGGATGCAAAGCAATTAACAATTAAAATTTTAATTAAAAAAAATAACAAATAATGATGAAAAGACTGAAAAGACCTGGATAAAAATAGAAGTCTTAACATATTTGCTAAAAGTAGAAGAGTGGGGTTAAACACAACCCAAGAGATTTTATAATTTGGGAACTGCACCAAAGGCAGTTATGTCTCATATGTCTCAACCATACAAAAGTTGAAACCAATGCTAAGGATTGCTTTCTTGTAGAATAATGCTACACATTGTATTGTGGTAACTACAGATAGTCCCCGACATACAACAGTTCATTTAGTTTGAACTAAACTAATGGTTTAGTACCATTTGAATTGCAACGGTACCATAAAAAGGACTTATGACCATTTTTCGCACTTACAACATTGCATCATCCCTGTAGTCACGTGATCAAAATTCAGGTTTGGCAATTGGTTCATATTGATGATGGTTGCAGCAATGGGGAAACCACATTCACTTAACAATCATATTACTAAATTAACAATTGCAATGATTTACTTAACAATTGTGGCAAGAAAGGTCGTAAAATGGGGCAAAACTCAGTTAATCAACGTTTCATTTAGCAACATAAATATTGGGTTAAATTGTAGTTGTAAGTTGAGAACTAATGTACTCTCTCCTGTATCAAACCCCAAATTGTTCCATATTTCAAAGACAAAAGCAAAAACCTGTAAGGTGTGCCCAGCAAACTATTGGCAGTGCTTCTAATATCACAAATTCAGTCATCTGCTTTGGCAGAGTTGTTTGTTTGTTTTGTACCACATGCTTTTATATGCAGAGCTTCACAGAAAGAGCCTTGGGTATCTAAAGAAGTTTCAGATACAGGGCTTAGAGGCATTTTTGCAAATGGAGGAGATACTGGACTTTGGCACTTCACTTTGCAACATGCTACTTTTTTTGTTGTTCTTTTAAGTATCTTTTGAAAAATTATAAATAGGCAGGTAACTGTGCCAAAGGAGGTGGTGGATGGCTCATTTATGCCCAGGATCCTGCCATGGATATTCTAGTTGTATAAGCTATTATATTTCTTCTCCTGCTTCCTGCTGTTCAAGCTTTTGATCCTCAGTTTCACATACTGCTACCCTAGACTCTGAACTTCTGCTGTCATCATGAGTTATTAACTGTGTCTGATTTTTTCCTTGAAACTCTGTTGTTGCTTTTGGTTTATCCAATCTCTGATCTTCAGATTGTCTTCTTTCTCAGATGTGTTTCCCCTTTTCAATTTTGATGGATTTTTGCTTTTGGTTATTGGTTATAAACTGCAGGTTAAATCTGCACCCTACTATAATGTATATGTAGTATATGTAGTATAGTATTATACTAGTATAACAGCGAATGTCTGGATGCACATTGCTGTCTAAAAGTGAATCTAAATGATGTTGTGGTTTGTCTGTCTGTTTGTATTTCTTCTGTATCTCTCTCTCTTCCTACCTACCTACCTACATCTGTCTATCTGTCTGTCTCTGTCTCTCTGTCTCTGTCTCTATTTAACCTTCTACCTACCTACCTACCTACATCTATCCATCCATCTGTCCACCACCTACCTACCTAGCTACTTCTATCTATCTATCTATCTATCTATCTATCTATCTATCTATCTATCTATCTTATATACTGCCTTTATTATTTTTACATATAACTCAAGAGGTGAACATTTAGTATAAACACTTTCAAAGAATTTCATTCTTAAAATGATTGAGAATGATTACTAGAAGTGATCAGGAAGATCTGTAGGAGCTATAACTGAAGAGAGGAAGCTTGTATCAGGCCTTTGGATAATGGCTTGTACAACATTATATCTTAGAAGACATGGCTAAGCTATACTTGCATCTTTTTTGCCATTATGCCCAACTATTATTTATTCAGATCCTTGAGATCTGTGGAAATTTTATTTTTTTTTGTCATATTTTCTATCTTATGTTTTACTGATATTATTTGAATGTTATAAAATTCCTAATTCAGCTGAACTGTAATGTCTATAGTAGATTATAGCAATATTTGAAAAGTATAAATAACAGCATAATAAATAACAGGAAGTAACTTTACACAAACATACCAGAATCTGATCTATTTATTTCAAATTGGCTCGATATAACTCACTGATATTGTCAGATGTAAATGCCTTATTCTCCAATGTGTAAATAATGTATATATGGAACATCAGAGGTTAACTTATTCTTTGGACTTTAATGTATTCATAACTTACCACTCCCATTCCTAGCTCCACCCCTTGTATATATAAGGAGCCACCCTCACCATTCTCTTCGCTTCTACCTTGAATATTCAGTGAATATAGAATGCCTATCATAATTAAAAAGAAATATATTTAAAGCTCTAACTCCTATTATCTTTATTGAGTCTGATCCTGAAAATATTGCAACAAGCTGGTAGCAGAGGATGGTTAATTGACTCAATAAGTAATTAAAAATGTCCAAGAAAGATAGGCCCAACACCAGGGCCTACAGCAAAGAAATAGAAACTGATCAAGAGATGATCAACGAATCCACCAATGCGATTTCGAGAGAATCCGAAGAATACACCACTGAAGAAGAAGAACTAATGAGTGAAAATAATGACCAGAAAGAAATCGAAATAGAAAATAACGAACTCAGGTCAGAGATATTAAAGATACTAAAAAGCCAAAAGAATGATGAAAGTCTCATCGCGGACCTCCAGGAGATGCTGAAGAACAGCGGAGAGCAGCGAAAGAGAAAAACGTCATTAAAGAAAAACCCAAAGATCAAAAAACCGTAAGTGAGATGACTACTGAGAAAATAGTTGTTAAAAAGAAAAGATGTGATCCCGCGCGAAATTTTGAATGGCAGCCATCTTGGTTTCAACGAACTTCAAAAGAGAATGGAGCAGAGCCAATCAAAACGCTCAGTTCAAAATTTCTGGCGCGAAAAACACTATCAGACGAAGAAAGTGAGAAAGAAGTCTCAAACTCTTCAGATGATCCAAAATCAGAAAGTGAAGACGATTTAACAAAATCTCAAGTAAAATCAGCAATGAAAACGCTTTTTGCTGCTTTTGGGCCAAGACTGAAAATTACCAAGACATCTACGAAGAAGCAAGAAATCAAACCGGCGACTCAAGACCTGCACGCTCCCATCCTGACTTCGAAAGCGACGACGCCCGAGCCCAGAGAGCCATGCCGATTTCGCCCTACACCACAGACAAAATCGAATACCAACGCACACAAAAAGAAGAAAAGAACCGTCGCCACCACCAGAACCCCAAAAACCGAGCCAGAGACCGACTCATCTGAGGAGGAGCGGATCGAGAGAGCTGAAAGGGAGAGAACCTTCCACGACGCCACCAAAGAAGAAATGAGCAACGCGCATGTGCGAAACTACGTAGACGACCCAGAAGGACTTGAACTGGCCAGAGAACCGCGCAGACTCATTGCAAGCATCCCAATGCCGTTCTGTAATTTCCTGCACTTGAGAGATCACGGACTGCCCCAGGTTGTAAGTAATGGACAGAATAATGTAGGTAACTTACCCAGTGACTTCCCAAAACTTAGAATTGATGGCATTAATTTACAAGAGTGGTATCAACAGCTTCAGGTTATTTTCATGAAAGAAAATTTACTATTCTTTATAACTAGCCCTCCAAGAAGACCTTGGACTTTAAAAATAGATTGTTTACATCATAGAGCATTTTTCATAATAATATCTAGCGTGTCTCCTGCAATGTATCATAGCATCAAACCAAACCTAACTGTATCAGAAATAATTCAATGCATGTTTAATCTATTTCACAGCGATAGCGTAGCTACAACCACAAGAATGTCTAAGGATTTCTTTTCCTCTAGAGTAAAACCAGGGGTTTCTATAAGTGAGCATTTGATAAATCTAAACAAAATAAGAGCTGAGCTACAATTGAGGGGGGAAGTGATTTCAGATCAAACAATGAAAAGTGTTATTATCAATTCACTTGATCCATCATGGGATAGCTTTATGTCACACTTAGATACCATTAATTTGGGATATTTATCCATAGAAAGTCTATCTAACAAATTGATAGCAGAAGATAATTCAAGAAAAATCGATCCAGTAACCAAACAGACCACAAACCTTTTAGGAAAGTAGTCTTTCAAGATAAAACATAATGAGGCCTTTAGATGCTACAATTGTGGATCCAGGGAACATAGTAGAAGAGACTGCCCCAAAGTCTCAAGAGAGAGACATAGACCAGAATATAGGAGCAAATATAATTACAGACAATCTTCCACAGATAGACACAAATATAGAAGTCCACCAAATTACAAAGAGGTAGAAGGGGTAGAGAAAATTCAAAAGAGAGGAAATCTGGGTCACTGAATGGGTTAAATAAACAAGACAGCACCAGAACACAGCAGGATGAGAATAACAATTGGCTTATTGATTCTGGTGCAACAAATCACACCACCAACAACAAAAGTATATTATCTTCATTTATAGAAGATAAGTTTGTGATAAAGGTAGCTAATCAAGAAAAGGTTCAAGTACTAGGCAAAGGAAATGTGACCTTGCCTGGTCTAGGGAAAATAGAGGGGGTATTATTAATCCCAGAAATACCTCACAACATACTAAGTGCCATAAAATTAAGCAGAGAATCTGATATCAATATAGTTTTCTCAAAGGGGAAAGCAACTATAGAAAAGAACAAAACAAATGTAGGTACTGTAATGATAAAAGGAGGTCTACCCTATCTGATAACTAAAGAAAGATGTTTACATAACATTGATTCAAATATGGAAGATTGTATTGAAG